CTCTGTCCTCTAGGGGCGCTGTGGGTCAGAATGGACTCCAAGGCAGTGGTGTGGTTTGGGTTTTGTGTGCATGAAGACTGACAGCCTTGGGCACCCTGTCCTCTAGGGACGCTGTGGGTCATGACACAGAAACACAAAATGAGCACATAGTGTCAGAAAAATGGTGCTGATAGACTTGCTTGTCCCAGACCCCAGATTTGTGGAAAAAAAAAAAAAAAATTCAGTATCTACTAAGTGCAAAAAAGTGAAATGCAATAAATACCTGCATATTTATACATACATATACATATATATGTATCTGTAGGAGCTCTGGTGGTGTAGTGCCTAAGGCATCTGACTGCTAACCAGAAGGCTGGTGGTTCAAACCCACCAGCCACTCCTCAGAAGGAAGGCTGGGCAATCTACTTCCATAGTAATACTACCTCGGAAACCCAAGGAGGAGTCGCTATGAGTCGGATCCAACTCCATGGCAGTGAAGTTGTTTTTTTATATATATGTGTATGTGTGCGCACATGTATGTCATGTATGTATGTGTAATGTCTTTCTATCTTCCCATGATATTCCTGAACTAGATGATAGTACTTCAAAGATTGGTATTCTAATTGGCTTAAAGATAAGTGCTTACATAAATTAAATATTCCTAATAGTCCCAGAAATTAATAAAAGTAAATTTATTCTGACACACTTATTTTGATAGTAATTTCAATACTAATAGTAAGTATTTCAATAGTAATAGTGTTATGTTTTAGAGTCTATCAGCTTAAAAGTAGTTTCCAAGGTCTTTTTAGAAACTTAAAACCTTAGACTTAGGTTAGGTATGCAGGGTGTGTTTTGTTAAGAAAAAGGAGTGCAATTTTGCCCTAAAGTAAAATGACTGATTGTCTCGGAATGGAAAATAGAGAAGTGTAAGACAAAACCCAAATGGATATGGAAAACTGCAGAAGGCTTGTGGAAAAAGGGTTTAGTTGTGGTGAAGGTTGGCTAAGATTTGGTGGGTTTATTTACAAGATTGATAAAGAGCTATTGTATCGAACACTTTATGGATGCAGAACTAGAGTTTGCATTTCTCTCTTAAAATGGCAAAACTGTCTTGAATTACTGGCTAACTCTTTATAAGAGGTTGTAAAAAGTTACCTTAACCTCTAATTAAAGGACTGACAAAACAGAACTCATGATCCCTTGTCCCTGTAGCCCCCTCAGTCTACCCTTTCACAAACCACAGGGATGATACCATCATTTATACAAGACCTTAGAGCCACAATGCTCCTTCGGAACAAGGATGGGAGACTTCATATCACTTACTTTTGTCATGTTGTCAGGAGGGATCAGTCCCTGGATAAGGACATCATGCTTGGTAAATATGGAGCCAGTGGAAACAAGGAAGACCTTCAATGAATTGGATCGACACAGTGGCGGCAACCGTGGTTCAAACATAGTAACAATTGTGGGGACAACACAGAATGAGACAGTCCTTCATTGTGTTGTACACAGGGTCACCATGAGTCAGAGCTGACTTGACAGCACCCAACAGCAGAGTCATAAATAAGAATGTTATTCTCAGGTTCCTGCTTATGGCCAAGTTCAGAATGGTTCAGGATCAACAATATGCCTGGATAGTCATGCCTCATAGTTTCAGTGAGGTTCCACCTTACTTCTCACAACCCCCCCAACCGGACCTGCAGAAATCAAGTTCCTGAAGGAATGCCCCCTAATCCAGTATGTGGAAAGACCTTCTGCTCTGCTCAGTTTCCTAACTGTCAACGTCTTGCTCAGACTTCAAGACATCCTCATCAAAAACCCTGAATTAATATTATTTGTTGGTAGGTCTTACTTAAAACTGAACAATGTCAGGCTGGTTATGCCATGACCATTTGCACTGATCTCATAAGAAATGGATCCCTTTCTGATCACACATTCCCCACACTACCTCAGGCTTGTTATCTGGCCAAAGATCAGACTGCAAACATTGATATGGACAGTAGATATGCTATGCAAGAGGTACACTACTTTGAGATGTTCTTGAAACAAAGAGGTTTCTCACCTCTGCTGGAGCCCCAGGAAAAAATAGTCAACTGGTGCTAGATTATTAGATGCTGCCTTGTTGCCTAAAGGAGTTACCATCATAAATATCAAAGGTCATACCCATAAAATAGGAGCTCTGGTGGCGTGGTGCCTAAGGCATTTGATTGCTAACCAGAAGGCTGGTGGTTCAAACCCACCAGCCACTTCTCAGAAGGAAGACTGGGCAACCTACTTCCATAGAGATACCCCTCAGAAACCCAAAGAGGGGTCGCTATGAGTCAGATCCAAGTCCATGGCAGTGAGTTTGAGGGTTTTTTTTTTTTTTTTTTTTGGTATCCACAACATAGATTCTGTATCAAGGAAATGGCTTGACTGATCAACATGCTGAATCAACCACCACTCAAAACTTCCCGGCTCCCAAGCAACTCTGTGTACTACATAACACCTGTCTTAGTGGAATGTCCCCAGTTGATTTGGGAAGGGCTCAGGTAGGAGCATCTGAAACTGAACCCCAAATTTAGAAGTCCTAGGACTGTCCCATGAACCCTGGAAACAGACTCTGGCAGGCCCTGGATGGCCAACCATTCATACCAGAATCCCTAAAATCCCTTCTTCAAGTTTTGCATGCCGTCATCTACCATGGTACCCAAAAGGAAAAAGAAAGTTCTTGTTATGGCCAAATATTGGTGGGACACCTGCAAGAAAGCAGCTTCAAGAGCACGCAAACCATGCTATACTTGCCAAACTCATAACCCAGAGAGGACTCTTAAAGTCATGCCTGGTATTAAATTAAACCTCAGCTAACTGGACCTTTCAAACATTTGCAAGTGGATGTTGTCCACTTCCACCATCTATGGGATAGGATTGTATATTAGGAATTGGTTATTTATTTCCCGGATGGTTGATGGGTATTGTTGCTGAAGGCAGATGCTACTACATTAGCTAAATTCGCTCCTCTTTGGGGCATGCTGTCTCTCTAACTGGGAGAGGTGTATCCTTTGAGTTTAGCTGAGTTGAGTCTGTTCCTTTGAGTTCAGCTGCTGTGTGGGTGGTACCACTTGGAAAGGTCTTTTCCTGTGGGGCTCAGCTGCCAATCTCCTCCGATGTCTTTTCCAGCAAACTAAGTCTCCTTGTTGAAGGTTAAATGGGATGTGTCCTTCTTTGGGATAGAGGTCCTGGAAAGCAACTTGCTGTTGTTGGGACTAAGCCTGGAAATGGTGCATTAGTCCTTGGCAGTACTGAGTCATGTTAGCTTTTGCAAGGGCCAAGGCTGTGTAAGGTATAGATCCTGAATGCAGGGCACATCCTGTCACAATTTCTTAAGGAGAGAGTTGATGTTTTCCTGGTGGGTGGATCTAAATAGCTCAAAGGAAGTAGTTTTGGCCATGGCAGATGAAGAGGCTGAGAGCTTGGCCTGTGTGAGTCTTAGGGCTCCGTTTGTTCTGTATACTTTGTGGATGATACAGCCACTGTCAAGATGGCATAGCACGTCGATTATTCGATGACATGTGAGCCCCAGTCAGACAACTGATGCAGCCCGATGCACAGAACTTTGAGGCATCTACACCCAGGAAGCAGTGAGAACTCACCACTCACTCCAAGTAAACCTGTGGTCAACGTGGCTGCAGGAAACCAGAGCCACATCAGATTCTGCAATGGATCTGCCCCTAGTTGCACAGTTGTTAAAGTGCTCAGTGCTAACCAGTAGGTCAGCAGCTCAAACCCACTAGCCACTCTGGGAGAGAAAGGTATAGCAGTCTGCTTCCGTAGGGATGATAGACTTCGAAACCCTAGGGGGCAGTTCTACTCTGTCCTCTAGGGTCATTAGGAGTCAGACTCAACCTGACGGCAGTGGGGTTTTGGCTCCTGGTGGCACAATGGTTAAGTGCTCAGCTACCAGAAGTTAGAACCCACACTGTTGCTCTGGGAAAAAAAAAAAAAAACAAACCTGGTGATTTGTTCCCGTGATCACAGCCTAAGGAAGCCCATGGCGAGTCTCCGTATCACACGGTCACGAGGAGTTGGAATTGACTTGATCGCACCCAACAAGAGGCCCCTGACCTAAAAGGCCAGACCTGCCTTCGGCCAATCCTTCTTCAGACTTTATCTTAGCTGCCGCCACTGTTGGCAGCAGCCCGTGTTCTGAGCTGGCCAGACGTACCTACACTCATCATCCCATCCAGACTTTACGCAAACAAGAACCTACCCTTACCTCCAGGAGGCTCTGGTTACGCTTTCGTTGTGGACACAAACTCTCCCAGACTCAGCCCTCGATTGGCAGGGTTGGTGGATCAGGGCATTTGGCTCCAAATCTTCCGTTCCTCAGAGCCCTCAGCATCAGCTGGCTAACTCCGGCCCAGGTACCTTCAAAGCAGTACCAGTTCCCAACTGAGCCCACTTCTGGTTCTCACAGGCAATTTCGCCTCGCTGCATTGACTAACAGCAATACAAGCAGGTCCACGGAAATGTTGTTTTTACATAAACTCCTCCAAACTCCAAAAACAAACTCACTGCCATCCAGTCGATTCTGACTCAGAGAGACCCCTCCTTGGGTTTCCACGGCGGTATCTCTGCGGAAGTAGATTGCCCCATCTTCCTTCCGAGGAGTGTCTGGTGGGTTTGAACCGGCAGCCTTCTGGTCAGCAGTCAAATACCTTAGGCCCTATGCCACCAGGGCTCACTCCGGGATAATGGAAATTAGCATCAACCAAATTAAAAATCACCTTAGAAGTATTTCACTCACTAGAAAAACCAGCACTTCCCTGCACAGGTCTGTTCCTGACACTGGGAGCCTTGGGTGAGTGGACCAACCGGACATGTTTTGAGGGTTATTTTTTGGGGGGACTTATCCTATTAGCAAGGAGCCCTGGTGGGGCAGTGGTTAAAGCAGTCGCTGGTAAACACAAGGTTGGTGGTTCAAACCCACCAGCTGCTCTGTGGGAGGGAGATGCAGCAGTTTGCTTCCACAGACACCCACAGCCTTGGGGGTGCCACGGAGCAGCTCCCCTCTGTCCTGTAAGGTCACTGTGCGTCAAAAGGGACTCGGGGGCAGACGGCCTGCTTTTATTATGATTATTTACTCTGTGACGGGTGCTCTGTGTCTGTGTCACTTGTACTTTTAAATTTATTTTTTTGCTGCTGAGAGTATACACAGCAGAACACGCACCAATCACACAGCAGGACACGCACCGATCCCACCTACATGTACAATTCAGTGACATTAAGTCCTTGACTTGTGCAACCATTCTAACCCCCCTTTTCTGAGTTGCTTCTCTCCCATCAACATCAATTCACCACTCCCTAATTTGCTATCAGATCTTTTGAGCTGCTGATGTCAATATGGTCCCGTATCAATAGACCTTAAAGGGGTACAGTGCTCAATGCAGACACTCTGCGCTGATTGAGCTAAACTATTGTTTCATTCTAAGAAGACACAAAGAGATACTTTAAGGTTAAAGCTTATCTCAGAGCAATAGCTTCAGGGGTTCATCCAACCTCCCTGGCTCTATAAAGTCTGGATTCTGTGAGAATTGGAAATTCTGTTCTACATTTTCCCCCTTTTGATCAGGAGTCTTCTGTAGAATCTTTGATCAGAATGTTCAGTAATGACAGCCTGCTATCATCCAGTTCTTCTGGTCTCATGGTAAAGGAGGCAGCTGTTTTGGGAGGTGATCAGTCACCTCCTCTTCCTGGCTCCTTCTTCCTCTGTTGCTCCAGCAATTAGAGACCAATTGTTGTGCCTTAGATAGTCACTTGCAAGCTTTTAAGACCCCCAGGACTATGCAGTGAACTAGGAGGTAGAGCAAAAGCACTAAATCACTTACACTTTTGGTTGTACCTACATAGAAACTCAACGGACCAAACCTTCACCTATTGTCCAATGGCAGTTAATCGTAATGAAAATGTGAGAGCAAACAACCTGTCTGTGTACCCAGAATACAAGCACAGGATTAACATTAATGTGCAACGATAGCTGCTCCTTGACCAGAGACTCAATTTCTTGAAAGAATTCCAAACCCTTAAAAAAGTAATCCTCTTCTCTTATGAAATTTAAAGCTCCAATCTGTCAGCTGAAGAAAACCGAAGATAACTAACTCAACATCAGGTTGAGACTAACAGGCCTATTACATGTGCTGGTTTTCAAGGCTGTTCCAAGTAAGACTAAGAAGATGATCAAAAGGGGGATATTGTTGAAGAAAAAAAAAAAAGGCCCTTTGTTTGATCTCAGTTTGAACTCTTCGAAAAAATGGAAAAGTCTAGAAAGGATGGTTCTGAGAAAAGACTGTTTTAAAAATAACCAGGCTGCAAAACACCCAACAACAACAGATGAAGGCAGCCTGCGCTGACCTGGGGATTGCTGGCACAAGCTTAATGAGCCAGTCCTCACGGAAGCCCCACTTTTAGATACCGGCCTCTGCCAAGCAAGCAAATGTCAGTTAATCGCTGTAACTTCCCTTTTGGAAAGCCCCTGTCTGCGTAGAAAGACCCCCAGCTGTGCACACACTGTTTTCCGTGCCGGCCGCTGTGTGGCCCTGACCCCACATGGTGCGGAGCAGAGTGGCTCTGTACGGTTTTGTTGGCCGTCAATGTCACAGAGCCGTTTGCCAGGCCTTTTCTCCATGGAGCCAGGGGGGAGTTCAAACCACCAACTTTCAGCTAAGCAGCCAACTGCCACACACTTGTGCCACCCAGGGCCCTTGACCAGCCAAGGTGTGACCTGGCGAGCTCGTCTCTACAGAGAGGAGACCCTGGTCAGGAAGAGCTCTTCAAAAAACCCTATCTGGTCATGGCCTGATTGGAATTGAACGGCCACGGCCACTCAGAAGGGGGCAGAGGAGTCAGGATTTGAACCCCACCCACCTCTTTGCCCCAGGGCAGCTCACTGTGAAGACCTGCAGCCCTCCACCAGGCAAGGGGCAAAGTGGGGGAAGGAGGAAGTGTCTGGACTCACTCAGAGGGGCCGTAGCCTCCCACACAAGGACGTGGCCGTCCTGGGAGGTGGCAGCCTGGCCTCAAACCGCCCAGCTCTGCCCACTTCCTCCCATGTGGTCTGGAAAAGGCCAGGACCGCCTGGGAGCACCCCCTGTCACCTGAAGGAGGGCTGGTCCTACACACAGTCACTGGTGCTGCCTCCATGCCCACCTGGCCCTGCATGGAGACAAGTCAGGGGCAGGGCCAGCCTCCCCGGGGCTCGCAGCCCTGTGAGCAAGGCAGCTGGGGCTGTGCAAGTCCAGACGAAGGTGCCACCCATCTCCCTGTGAAACGGGCAGGTCCGGGAGGCTGCCCAGAGAACAGACACGATCTCTGGTAAGGCTGTGGTTCTAGATGTTTCCTGGGACCTCTAAGACCCTGCTCAAGTACTACACATGTCTGCATGCATGAGTATGCGCACACACGAAAAGCACACGTGTACACATGTGTGTATGCATAAACACACGTGCATGCATAGACATGTGTGCAGACACTGCAATGTGCAGGAGCACACATGCGTGCGGTTACACACATGCACATGTAAACTGCACATGCACACACATGTGCATGCACATTCATGTTTGTGCACATATGCACACATGTGTACAGTGCACTCATGTGTACGCATGCACATGTGCAGGCATGTACACACACACAGACCCACACACATCCTGCCTGACCTGGGTCATTTTGCAGAAAGCATGCAAGGCAGAAGGGGTGCCAGGTGAGGGGGGGCCAAGCTGAGGAGAGGCTTCAAGTGAGGGGCTGGGCTGAGGCGCCTGGCTGAGCCGGGCAGGGTACGGTGGAGGCCGGAAGGAGGGTCCTGGGATGTTTCCACAGGTCTCCAACCAGCACTCAGACTCCAAACTTGATTCCCCAGGCCCCTGCACCCCAGGGGACCCCAGTCCCCCAACACAGGTGTCTGATGGTGATAGAACCCTGAGGACCGTTAGCTAGCTGCAGCCCCATCTTTAAACACCCAGGGGAACTCGAGGAGGGGTGGGGCTGCCCAGAGCCCCAGGGCCCAGCCAGCCATCCCCCCCACCCTGCACCTTGAGCACCTCTCAGGTCAGGTAAGCACCCCAGAGGGTCCCTGGGTCCCTCTTCTCTCCCTGCCCCAGCCCCCCAGGAGCGCCCATGCCCACCCTGGCAGGGGACCATACCCCTTCCAGGCCTGGTGTCCCCACTTCCGTGGGCGTTGATGTCTGCGTCCCAAGCGCAGCTGGGAGGGAGGAGGGGACGGAGGGCTCAGGGGTTCGCGTCCGCGCGAGGACTTCGCACCGCCCCCCAGACCCCCGAGAAGCGCTGGCACCTGCTCGCGGGACCCTCCTGCAGGGGCGCCCGGCCCGGGCCCTAGCCTCGGTGGCTCGGAACCAGGCGCAGACCGGTCACCCGGGCGCTCCGCGCGCACCGTCCCGCCGGGAGGCGCTCGC